AGAAGTCACAAAATATGACAAATCAGTTCTTGTAAAAACTTTAAACTTCTCCACGGAAAAAAGGAGAAAAAACGACCAAAACAAGCTTAAAGGAAAGCAATAAACTAAACAAAATTATTTATAACATCTAAGACAAAGGGGAATTTTCCTAATATTGGAAAAGCTCTTAAATCAAACAGAAAAAGACAAATAACCTAAAAGAAAAATGGGCAAAGGTGATAAACAGTTCACAGAAATTAAATACAAATGACCAAAATATAAATGAAAAGATGCTCAAGCTCATTTATAATTGGAGAAATACAAAATAAAAATAAAATAATACAATAATCTTTTTCACATATCAAATTGACATCAACTAAAAAGTTTATTGGACTCAAGAGCTGGTGAGGGTAGAGAGAAATGGGCATTCTCAAAAATTGCTGGTGGGAGTGCAAACTGGCTCTACCTTCTAAAGAACAACATGGAAATACCTATCAAAACATAAAATATGGGTACTCTTTGTTTCAGTAGTTCCAAATCCTAGGAATTTATCCTACAAATACATTTCTACAATGTGGAAAGCCATAAGAGACAATGCTGTTGACTGCACCATTTTTTCTAATACTACTGAAAAACTGGTAACATCTTAAATTTAAAACTGGTCCATCAACAGGTTAAATTAAGTCATACCTATAAAATTAAGTATAATGTAATTATCTAAAAGAATGAAGTTGACTTGTACACACTGATGTTAGAAAGAGGCCCAACACATACTACTAAGTGGGGACGGGAAACTAGTTGCAATCCAGTATATTTTATGTATGAGAAAATTTCTGGAAGGATACAGAAGAAACTGTTAACTAGGGAATTGGGGAGATGGGGATTTTTACTTGTTGCTTTATTTCGATACTGCTTGCATTTTTTTTAAAGATCATCTATACCTTCTTAACTAAAGAAAAAAAATCAGACACTATTTATTGAAAGGTAGTACTTTCATTTGTGCTTTTACTGTAAGGGAGAAAGGACCTAAAAGTGGTAAAAAAAAAAAAAAACGAGGTTTAGGACCATCAGTCCAAGAGGTAAGTTTGGCATGAATGGGACTCCCTCCCCTCATTCACTCCTAAATCCCCTTGGAAACACCATCCCCTGGGATAGAAATCAGAAAGAATATAACCACTATACACCCTCTGACCCCTTGGACGTAGGGCCCAGTCAAGTGTGGGAATTTGAATTTGGAGCCTGAATTGTCCACCACCAACCAATTACATCCCACGCCTGCGCAACTGCAAAAATAATCCAAAAAAAGCAATTTACTTACTAAGCTTTAGGTTACATGCATTTTACAATTCTCTTTTGAATACGGACATATATAACATTCCATCTTATTCAACAAGGGTATTCCTACAAGGCACAAAGTACACTTGTCCCTCAGTATCCACAGGGTATTGGTTCCAGGACCACTCCCCCCCACCCATAGGATACCAAAATCTGTGGATGATCCAGTCCGTTATATAAAATGGCATTGTACAGTTTGCCCTCTGTATCCACAGGTTCCGCATCCATGAATCGGGCAGGTGTGGAATCCAAGGATACAAAGGGCCAACTGTACTAAGAAGAAAGCAAGAGTGAAATAAAACATGGTTTCTGTCACCAAGTCATTCAAAATCTGGCACACAACCAACCAGAAGGGAGGCCCAATAGGTTATGTGCTCTAGTAAAGTGCCCAGAGAGCTTAACCACACCTGCAGGGATCGGAGACCTCACCAAAGAGACAGCATTTCTTAGAACTGAATTATCAGTAAGAGAACCTAACCTTTCCCCTCTTTTCTACTTACTCAACTCTTTTTCTCTATGTAAAAACAGGTAAACTTGACACTGTCCTTTCTCTCATTGCTTAATTCATATAACTAAATACAACACCTCTTTTGTATAAGTTAGTGTTGGGTAGACTTTGCAGTATTAAATATATTACTATAAATATCTTAAAGTTTTATTTATTCAGGAGTTGTTCCATCATACCATAAACAACTGAAAGAGCTCAAAAATTTCAACCAATTAGCTAATAAACTACATCTTTCCAACTATTTCTTATACATAGATTTATTAGTGAAGATCCTTGGTACAGAAAATAAGGTTGCCCTAGAACAATCACGAAAAAAGCCAGTCTAGGATTTTAAGTCTATAATGGAAAGTACACAATAATCTAAGCACAAAAAAACAAAGAACTATCATTATTTTGTCCCTGTGTATTTTTGTTCTTATTCTTTTCACCTAAAACTGATCCAGATGCAGATGGGTATACAGCTTCTGCCCTTGTTGGGGGAAAAGAAGGAAAGTGATCTCTAAGAAGTTAAACCTAGAAATTTAAACATTTTTTCTGTTAGTGTTAAGTGTACTTTTCGTGTTAAATATATTACCATAAGTATTTCTTTGATCAAAGTTTTATTTATTCAAGAGTTGTTCCATCACCCCCATAAACCATACTTAACACCCTTCACAGGCTTTCAACACACCTGGTTATAAAGAGTGCAAGTTTCATAGTCAAACAGAACTGCATTTGAATATGGGTTCCACCACTTCCTAGCTGATCACTTTCAACAATCTCTTCATGTCTCTGAGTTTCAATTTCCTCACAAATATAATTTTCCTCCCTCACAGAGTTGTTGCAAAGATTAGCAACAATCCAGGTAAATCATCTAATACACTGCCTAGCACAGAGCAGGCCATCAATAAATGATAGCTAAAATAATCAGCATTACCACTATGAATCCTAACTCTGAAAGCCAGTAAGGCACAGGTACATCAAGCCACTTGGAGGGACCCAGAAAGCAAGAAGTAGAAAGAACAAGGTAAGTTTCTTTTTTGCCCCATCTAAAAACAATCAGAACATACAATATCAAGAATTATGACAACTCTCAGAACAAGTCTCAACAGTGGTTGAGAATATACACATGAGAAATTCCACTTCACCACTTACTAGCTGTGAGACTTGAACAAGTCGCTTACAGGAGATGTCCTTTCCTCAACTAGAAGAGAGCTAGTAACAGTCCTTCAAAGTACTTTGTGGGGATCTTGTGAAGGTTAAATTAAATGATATAACCCACAGAATGCTCTTAACAAGCATCTGGCAACAGTAAGTACTCCAAATGTTAACTACCAGACTGTACATGAAATCCCTGGCACCCCCAAGGAGTTACCGCAAGGGGTCTGAAGAGCTTGCAACACTAATATGTATTTCAGATATACATACTATTTTTCAGTAGTATACGGAGTCCAGTGTGGTTAATACAATACGAATTATTTTAAGAGTTCTCAAGTAGCTTTTAAAACCATGAAATGATTGTTGAAAAACATTCAATAGAGAAAGATATAAAGTAAAAAAGTGTGCTCGGGCTTCCCTGGTGGCTCAGTGGTTGAGAGTCCGCCTGCCGATGCAGGGCACACGGGTTCATGCCCCAATTCAGGAAGATCCCACATGCCGCAGAGCAGCTAGGCCCGTGAGCCATGGCCACTGAGCCTGCGCGTCCGGAGCCTGTGCTCCGCAACGGGAGAGGCCACAACAGTGAGAGGCCCGTGTACCACAGAAAATAATAATAATAATAATAATTCCAGGGACTAGCCTCGTGGTCCAGTGGTAAAGAATCCGCCTTCCAATGCAGGGGACGTGGGTTCGATCCCTGGTCGGTGAACTAAGATCTCACATGCCACAGGGCAACTAAGCCACAACTACTGAGCCCACCCTCCTCAACTAAAGAGCCTGCGTGCCGCAAACTACAGAACCCACGTGCTCTGAAGCCCAGGCACCACAACTAGAGAAAACCCGCATGCCACAATGAAGAGCCCACACGCTGCAACAAAAGATCCTGCATGCCACAGTGAAGATCCTGCGTGCCTCAACTAAGCCCCCCGCAGTCAAAAATTAATTAATTAATTAATTAATAATAATAAATAATAACTCCAGGGGATTCCCTGGTGGCCTAGTGCTTAGGATTTGGCGCTTTCACTGCCGTGGCCCAGGTTCAATCCCTGGTCGGGGAACTGCGATCCTGCAAGCTGTGAGGCACAGCCAAAATTTAAAAAAAAAAAAAATTCCACAAGGAACACTCTGTTTGAAGGGCATTCAACACATGTGTAGGTATTTCTGTTGGACAACTTCCTAAAAGTGGATCTGCTGAGTCAAAGGTTTTGAACATTTTATATTTTGGTAAGTATTGCCAAATTGTCCCCCAAGAGAACATAAATAAAAGAGAGGACAATTGTACTCTCTGTAGTTAACCATCTGCTTAAAAACCAAGAACAAAAAGGAAAAAATCATATGGAGAAACTGTACATTTTTCTATGTGCAAAAGCAGACCACATCTTGGAGAAAAGATGGGACCACAGTTACAGACCTTTACTTTATCCTTCTTAACACCAGAGCCCCTGTGCTGACTAAACTCTCATCTTAGCATTACTCAGCCCATGACCTCCCTCTGGCTTATGTCAAAACCACTTTTCTAGTATACCCTGCCCCCACCCCAGTCCCCAAGACAATTGTTCTGGGGGGGGTGGGAAGGACTCAAGACCTTAAGTGTTGCTTGCCATCATCTAAAAGCCATGCCAAGCCCCAATAAAACAGAATTACTCCATGCAACATTCACTTAAATGTTCTACTCTATTGCTGTTTTAAAGCAGCAAAGGATTAAAATCTTTTAATCAATAATCACTGGCCTACAGGTAGTTTACACATTTCATTTTGTTCCACAATATTATTACAGTGAGGAGCAAGAGCAGATAAAGGTCATGTTGGTAATTAAAGCTATATTACAGAAATATGCACACCCAAGATATGATTAAATAAGAAAATATTCCTCGGTTCAGTATCATCATTAAACTTGCATTAATTTATAAATATTTAAATGTACCATATGATGATCATAAATAATCTGTTTTTGTCAGTTTCTAAAGTAACGCAACCCATAAACCCTTTGAAAAATTACTGCAGAAAGAAACAGTCAAGAAAGTATACAAGCCAGACTTACATTCAAATGCTGTGGTTGTTGCTTCAGGCAGAACCTGGCCTATCACATCCTAAAGAAAGAAAGAATAAAGGAACACAATTAGCCATCTTCTTTATTGCTAACATGTGGCAAATCCTAGAGGACACAGGAGAACCTGGAAAAGATTTTTGAAATGTTGGCATAAACTATAAAAACATTAGCTCATAATCACACTTAGCCCAGCAATCTAAGTCCAGAGTTTAAATCTCTATTCTGGAGCTTAAATCTCTATACTGGGGGTGGGGACCATTTAAAAAATCCTTTCCACTCTGTACTAATAACATAATTTTTTACTCTCGATTTAACAGCATAGACAATTACACTGTTGTGCATTTATAAAAAAAAAAAAAGGTTTCTTCTATGGGAGGCTATAGAAGGAATGTACTGTTAGTAGAAAAAGAGGTTTGGGGAGTCAAGACTGGCCTGGGTTTGAATCTCAGCTCTGCACTAAACAAGCTGTGTGACTAGCAACAAATTACTCAACCTCTCTGAGCCTCAATTTGATTATCCTCCAATATGGGTCTAATAATGCTTACAGAGGTAATGTAAAAAGTATTAAATAATGTAATAAACATGAGCATGAACTAGCCTAACACACTGTAGACCTTCAACAAATGCAGCTCTGGATATGTGACTACCAACACCTTTCCTTGCACTCATACTGGGAAGAGTTCAAAAAACAAGTTTCCATGATGATGATGTAAATCTACAATACTACAATACATTTAACACAAACAATTCTTACCAACCTTTACTCTTGAACAACTAAAAAACATATTTAATGACACCGAAATAAAGTTAATCTAGCCTACAAATGAAAAAGTGTATATAACCTGATATCAATGTTTAAATGAATCTATAAAGTTGAAAAAACTTAAAAAATAGTCTACAGAGACAGCTTATTTAAAGAGGTACAGAACACCTTCGAGAAATTTTTAGTTCTGGGAAAAGTGACCCTCCATTATGTCCAGTCCAACCCAAATGGTCTGCACACCTCGTTGTTCTCAGGGAGCTCTGCCACAACGTCCCTCCTGGGCCATGCCACAAATGGCACCAGGCAGCCAGCTGACAAAGCCACTTGCAGTATTTCTCAGCAGGGAGCCCACAGCCTTCCAAGCAGGGCACTTAGCAGGGTGGCGGCTGCAACTTCCTTCTAAAGGCAGTTCTTTAGAAGCTTTTGCTGCAGTGGCAATTTGCATAATAGCCTTGTCTCTACTGTGTATGTGTGTGTGTGGGGGGGTGTTTTTTAAATAAATCTGTGCATATAAAATTGATCCAAGGGGGCTTCCCTGGTGGCGCAGTGGTTGAGAGTCCGCCTGCCAATGCAGGGGACACGGGCTCAGCTCTGCACTAAACAAGCTGTGTGACTAGCAACAAATTACTCAACCTCTCTGAGCCTCAATTTGATTATCCTCCAATATGGGTCTAATAATGCTTACAGAGGTAATGTAAAAAGTATTAAATAATGTAATAAACATGAGCATGAACTAGCCTAACACACTGTAGACCTTCAACAAATGCAGCTCTGGATATGTGACTACCAACACCTTTCCTTGCACTCATACTGGGAAGAGTTCAAAAAACAAGTTTCCATGATGATGATGTAAATCTACAATACTACAATACATTTAACACAAACAATTCTTACCAACCTTTACTCTTGAACAACTAAAAAACATATTTAATGACACCGAAATAAAGTTAATCTAGCCTACAAATGAAAAAGTGTATATAACCTGATATCAATGTTTAAATGAATCTATAAAGTTGAAAAAACTTAAAAAATAGTCTACAGAGACAGCTTATTTAAAGAGGTACAGAACACCTTCGAGAAATTTTTAGTTCTGGGAAAAGTGACCCTCCATTATGTCCAGTCCAACCCAAATGGTCTGCACACCTCGTTGTTCTCAGGGAGCTCTGCCACAACGTCCCTCCTGGGCCATGCCACAAATGGCACCAGGCAGCCAGCTGACAAAGCCACTTGCAGTATTTCTCAGCAGGGAGCCCACAGCCTTCCAAGCAGGGCACTTAGCAGGGTGGCGGCTGCAACTTCCTTCTAAAGGCAGTTCTTTAGAAGCTTTTGCTGCAGTGGCAATTTGCATAATAGCCTTGTCTCTACTGTGTATGTGTGTGTGTGGGGGGGTGTTTTTTAAATAAATCTGTGCATATAAAATTGATCCAAGGGGGCTTCCCTGGTGGCGCAGTGGTTGAGAGTCCGCCTGCCAATGCAGGGGACACGGGTTCGTGCCCCGGTCTGGGAAGATCCCACATGCCGCAGAGCGGCTGGGCCCGTGAGCCATGGCCACTGAGCCTGCGCGTCCGGAGCCTGTGCTCCGCAACAGGAGAGGCCACAACAGTGAGAGGCCCGCATAACGCAAAAAAAAAAAAAAAAAAAAAAAAATTGATCAAAGGGAACTATCTTAGGCAGCCCTCACTCATTAGAGCCAAAAGAGATTATTATTTTCTTATTACTCTAGTCTTAGCAAATGAAACAACTTTCTGTGGAAGTATTTGTAAAAGATTTTAGTGTTGAAAAAAATCCTTTCTACATACTTGTAGGCAGAAAGTATTTATTGACAGCTAAATGAAAACTGTTGAGCGAGTATAGAATACACAAGCAGCCAGTGTAACGCCTTAGAGTGTGGACGGGAGCCAAACTGCTAGGGTTGGACCTTGGCTCTGCCATTCAGTCACTGAGTGACTGAATTTCTCTGTGCCTCCGTTTCCTTCTGTGTAAAAATGAGATCATAACTGTACCTACCTTGTAGGACTAATGAGTTAATATTAATAAAGTGCTTACAAGAGTAAGAGTAAGTCTAGCACATTGTAAGTGCAAGTATTAGTGTCTGTTAAATAAATAAAACAAGTCACTGATGACTGAAACATTACAAATCTTACCTCATAACGAAATTCTAAATTTCAGCACCTGACAATCAGTGGAGGATGGTCTTTGGTTCACTTACTTCATCCTTCCACAGCATTTACTGAGGACTAGCCAGTATTGGTTTAAAAAGGGGTGGTGGGGGGGGACCCTCCACTGCCCCAACCCTCCAAGTCTAGGTTATCACTGCTTACTTCCAGACAACCAGTCTTGAGATGTGAACCCTACAGTATTAGCAAACTAATTTAGGATCCTTCTTATTTATGAATAGCAGAATCTGTCAAACAGCAAACTTCTAACAACCATCTGAAAACTCTGCTGAGCAGCAATGGCCTCCTTTGCCCATCAACATAAACAAGGAGCCACACAAACTTTACAACTAATGCGGGGGGGGGGGCGGGAAGAGAAAGAAAAAGCAAACCTGATTGAGAGAATCATGAAAATCATGGGAACACAACTGACCATCTTGTTCTGTTAAAGCAAATAAAGTGGGGCTATAATAATGACAAAGAGGTAAAACTCAATCACTATCTCCTGGTCTTTTCTAAGCAGGCACATTTAATTTTATGTGTTTTTTCCAGTTGTATTTTAAGTGACTTATTTCAAAATGACCCTGTCTTATTCTCAACATTTTACTCAACCTAAAGAAAGTTTCGAAAGAGCACATAAGTTCACATATCTTGTTGGTGATCATTTCTCGATCCTTTTCTTCTCCTTCCTTTCAATAAATCAGTCAAACAAATAGCAAACCAAAAATATAAATGAGCATCTATAACGTGCCAGGAGGATAAAGATTACAAAACTGTAGGCTACAGAAGAATAAGACTTGCTCCTTGACTTTAGAAAGATTATAATCTGTCACAAAGATAGAGACAAACCTAAAAGACTAACAAATCAGAGCACTTATAGTATGGTAAAAGAGCCAAACAAAAGACATAAATTAGCAAACGGTAGGTGCTAACTCAGAAGGCAGTAAAAATCACGGTCTCAGTTAAGATAGAAGAAACTTCACAGATGAGGGGAAATCTGGGCTGGAACTTGGGAGAGAGGATTCAAACAGCAAGAGGAAAGGGGGAACATTCAGATCTCCTGCACAATTTTCCCCAAACTGCGGACTGGATTGCCAAGGAAGAGGAGAAACACAGAAAGCTGAAAAACAGATAACACAAATGCCTCTGCCTATGAGGACCAGCTGGGCCTACTTCACAGTGCACCAGTCCCTAACTATTCAGACGAAGGACAAAGGCCCCAGAGAGGCCCAGTGACTTGCCCACGGAGTCCCAGCCATTTGATGGAGTTGTGAATGGAGCCCTCAACTACTGACTCTGAGTCCAAAACGCCCTCAGCTCCAGCTGACTCAGTGACTACAAATTGCTTCTGGCTTCCGTGTCTGGTTCTGCCACAAACCAGCTGTGTGGCTTTAGCATTTTCCCCATCAGGGGTTCATGCTTCCTCATTTGAAAACTGAAGTGAGGAGAGATATCAGATGAAGGGGAACATTCCAGGTTTCATTTGGCTTTAAATTTTAAGGTTCTAAGCCAAAGATGCTGACGTGACTTGGTTTTTTGCCTATTTCTCAATGAAGAGATAAGGTAAACCTGGAAAAGAGATCTAAGGAGTCCTCCAGGATTTGAGCTTGCAGTTCCAAGAACTTGATATACAGCACCCATTGTCACGAGCCCTCCATGAGGCCTTCCCAACATAACACGCTCCACCCAGGTGTACCTGAGCAAGCACGTGGCACATGGCACTCTGAGCTCTCGATGGTGGGACTGTTTGTGCAAAGTTTATTTTTAGGCCAGTCATCCCTGAGCCAATGTACAACTGAGAGATGCCCAGGCCCTATCCCTTCTGCTGCAATAACAACACTTATAGAGCACTTACTATGCTCCAGATTGTTGTAAGTACTTTACACATACCAACTCCACTAGTCCTCAGAACTCTGTGAGGGAGGCACTACTTTTATCCCCCCAACCCTATTTTTGTCTTTTTACAGATGAAGAAACTGAGATACAGAAGACACTTGCCCAAGTGAGTCTGGTAAGGCTTACGATGTAAACGCAGTCAGCCTGGCTCCAGTTTGTGTTTTAACACTGTACCATTCTACTTAAAATAATACCTTCCGTTGTCTCAAATGAGTAAAGTGAAAGAAAGCTCTTGTCTTTCTCATCAGAGACACTATCTCACTTAATCTTTACAAGTCTTTGAGGCAGTATCATTATCCCTAATTTACAAATAAAGAAACAGGCTCAGAGAGGCAGAGTGACGTGCCTAGTTAGTGGGATGGTTTACAATTAAACACAAATTTCTTGATTCAAAATCTAGTGTGCTGTCCACAAAACCATAACTAACGGTGTGCATCCTCTTTGAAGCTCCCTCATTAAACAAATATTTCAGGGTCCTATGAAGCATCAGAAACAGAGAGGAAACAGAGTCCGTCTCCTCCAGAAGTTTACCATCTCGTGGAGGAGACAGACAAAATTAGCACAAAACCCATATACTTTGCCAAAACAAAGTTGTGAAAACACAGAGGAGGGGCATGTGACCAAGACCAATGCAGAGCAAAAGCCAAACTGGGCTTTGAAGGACAGGTGGGAGTTGGCGAGCTGAAGAAAGAGGCCCAGTGAAGAATGCCTGGGCACCTGGGAGAGCTCACGGTTAATTCTATATATCTGGAAGACAGGATGCTCATGGGGGTGTAGTGAGAGATGAAGCTGGTGCCAGGCAGGTACAAGCCAATCAAGATGGGCCCAGAGGGGCTTCCCTGGTGGCGCAGTGGTTAAGAATCCATCTGCCAACGCAGGGGACACGGGTTCGAGCCCTGGTCCGGGAAGATCCCACCTGCTGCGGATCAACTAAGGCCGTGAGCCACAACTACTGAGCCTGCGCTCTAGAGCCCGCAAGCCACAACTACTGAAGCCTGCACGCCTACACCCCGTGCTCCGCAACAAGAGAAGCCACCGCAATGAGAAGCCCGCGCATCGCAACGAAGTGTAGCCCCCGCTCACAGCAACTAGAGAAAGCCCACGTGCAGCAACAAAGATCCAACTCAGCCAAAATAAATAAATTAATTAATTAAAAAAAAATATATATATAGGCCCAGAGGACCACGCCAAGGAGTCTGGGCCTTACCATGAAGGGAGATCCATGTGCATGTGAGCGTATGGAGAACTCTGGATGCAAAGAAAAGGATGGCATATGTGTGCAAGATCGGAGGCTGCTGGTTTACTCCAGCTTCTGCACTCCTTGTGCAGACACCTGAAGATCTGTATGTTCTAGGTGGTCAGTAACATCCAGAACTCAAAATGACAGTACACAGATCAAATTTTGATTGAGTAAAACCTATGACCATCAAAAACCACATCCCAGATCTTCCTCTTCCCCCAGACCTCCACCCAGCCCCATCTTATCCGGCAGGTAAGTTCCACTATAGATCTGGTACTTGCAACATGCTCCTTGGTATGTCAGCTCTGCCTCTGATAGCGCAGTTATTCAAAATATAAAATGGGCACGATGTACTCTATCTCACATGAATACTAAAAGCTGAGTAGTACTACAGCATGTGGAAATAAATACCAAGTAAAGTAAGGAAATCTGAGTTCTGGCACTGACTCTCCCACTCACAAGTAACATGGCTTTGGAAAAGCCATTTCACCTCACTGCTCCTCCGTAACTATCTGCAAAAAAGATCAGAGGGCTCAACAGGCCACCTCCAAGGTTATCCTCTGCTCTAACATTCCATGATTCTATTTGAAATATATTTTGAATATTTATTATGAAAGTAAGACTACATCATTGACTCTAAGATGCACATTTTCCCCTCTATTTTAACATCTCTGAAACTGGGTTTTGTACAATGTGTGGCATGTCACAGTTTAACAGGTCGCATTTTTTTTCTTTCTTAGCGGTACATAAAATAATATCTTAAAACTTAGGATGTCTTAGGCTTGCTGAAACATGATTGGTTAGAGTTGCCTTGTTTCCCTTTCCCACTAGCTACCAAGTTTAGAGAACTCAGTAGAAAGACAGGCTGGAATCTGGCCAGGGACATTCCAAAAAATCCTTGAGAAAAACTCTCTTCTAGATTCAGCTTTTTGTATCCCAGTTGGTTGCTTCTGTGTGTTACGTCCCAGTCCAGGCTGTGAGTTCCTTGAGGGCAGGGGTCCAATCTGATTCATCTCTACTTCCCCAGGAACTTGCACACTTGTCAGATTTCAGTCTATACAATTAATCAATGCTTGTGGTGGAAGAAATAAAACTGCCCCCATACGAGGCCAGCAATGGCCACTAGCTCAGGCCACCAGGGTAAGATTTGGTGATCAAGGTGCTTACTGCCCTACAAATCCCTGCGCCCCCCTCGCTAGGGACACTGAGATTAGCACTTACCAGCACATCCCTGAAGAGTAGCTGCGGCCCAGAGTGCACTGTCCAGTCCACCGCTCCACTATTTGGAATCTTGATGCGAATCACCAGCACCTGGTTCTCCATGGCATGGAAGGGGCCAAAGGCCAGCCACAGCATTACAGGTTAAAGAGGCTCACATCCTGGTAGGGGGGAACCCCCTGGCTCCTGGTTAGGCGGGGGCTCTTAGAGGTGACAAGGGGACTGAGGGTCAGAGGACAGACGGGGAGGGGGAGTGAAGAGAGGAGGTGGTCCGGAAGCAGCCCGCAGCCTCGGAGCCAGGCCCAGGCTGTATGGGGTTGAGGGATGTCTCCCTGTGAGCGTGGACGGAGCAAGGGGCAGAAGCCAGTAGGAACTAGCGGAGATCAGAAGGTTCTGGAGTTGGAAAAGAGAGCAAACGGCATCTTGCAGCTCTCTGCCGTCTGTGTGGGTGTGAGGGGACAGCACAGAGAAGACGCCGTTTTAGAGAGATACGGCGGCAGGTGTCCACTCCTCCTTAAAGGAGAGGGGAGGGCCCCCGACTTGAGGGGACTCAGTCCGGGGCTGTTAGGAAGGAGCCCCAGGGCCGCTGGACCACAAGAAAGCCGAGGGGGCCCTCCGCGGGAGGGTCGGGGGCGAGTCCTCTGCCCCACCCCGAGCCAGAGTGCACGGCGCGCGCGACTCAGAACCTGTAACCCGAGGCCGCGCGTTCCGGCGGCGGCGGCGGCAGGAGGGGGAAGGCGGCGGTAAGAAGGGGAAGGCGGCGGTAGGAGGGGGAAGGCGGCCGCAGGAGGGAGAAGGCGGCCGCAGGAGGGAGAAGGCGTCGGCGAGGGCACTTACTCCGGAACCAAAACGCGCGGCGCCGGAACCCCGGGAGCCGGCGAGGGGACCCGCCTCCCGCGGCGCCATGTTGGAAGAGGGCAGCTCGTGGCCGGCCCCGCCCCCGCTCGCCGGCGGGCGGGACCCGAGGAGCAAGGGATTGGCGCCGGGGTCGGAGTGAGGGGACCGACTGGACTATTCAGTCGTGAGACCCCAACTCCCCTGTCGCGAAGTGACCACCCATGGCGACCGAGTGACAGCCCTTTCTTTTCCCAACCCTCATTAAAGTCAGCGAGGTGAAAACTTTTAACAAAAGAAGGAGGAAACTGAACTAGAGCAGGGGTCCGCCAAAAGCCGATTGATGGCTTAAGATGCGTAGTTTCCCTGTTCAGAAGACTAGAAAAATAGAACTGCCCCTCTCGTTTATTCCTACTTTATCAGGCCCTGTACCTAAATATTCGTGGAGGTTTGTGCATCAAATGATCAAGAGCAAGGTTGTCTTTTTTTCCTTCTTCCAAGTCACAGATCCGGAGGATCATCTTTCTCCCAAATGAGCAAAGCGAGTGTGGATTTTTCAGTGAGGTCCTTTACCCCTATGGTTACCCTAAAATAGCAAACAGCGCACTATTCAAAAGCAACAGTAAAGAAATTCAGTGAAGAGTTTAACTGCCTGGGTACAGTTGCAGTAGTGGCATCATCTTTTCTTATTAAACCTTTGAAAAAAATATCCTAGACAGTCCATAAACTTTCAACTAGATAGCAATGTTTACGCAGTGATATCACCGGCAGTAGCAATAACCCTTGGTTATTTTTAAATGCCTTGTTAACCTCAGATTTTTAAATGCATAATTTTGTTCATCTATGATGCCTATACAGAAGTTTGTTTACAAACTACAACGCATAGTTTCGTCCTTTACCTCTAAGAAAAGTCCACATATCGCTTTACTTTGAGGGGCTGAATTTTGTATAAATTCGGTGGGAGAGGAGTGTCATTCCCCTAACAGTCAAATAGTTGATGAATGCGAGAGAAAAAATAATTTAAATACTGGTCAGTGTTGGTATAATATCAATTTTTTACTGCATATTTTCTCTACCTGCATTCCTTCTTTTTTTTTGGTAGTATTTGTTTTATTTATTTATTTATTTATTATTGATTTATTTATGGCTGCGTGGGTCTTCGTTGCTGCGCCCAGGCTTTCTCTAGTGCCGCTCGTTGTGGTGTGCGGGCTTCTCCTCTGCCGCATGTAGGATCTTCCCTGACCAGGGCTCAAACCTGTGTCCCCTGCATTGGCAGGTGGATTCTTAACCACTGCACCACCAGGGAAGTCCCTACATTCCTTTTATATTTAATTTGAAAGTCCATTGTAGAAGATAAATTATCTCTTCAGTTATTGTAAATGAAGAGCTTAGGTAGAAATTCATTTAGTCAGATCCTCCAGGTAGTCAAAGAATTGCCCTTTTCCACCTGCACTTCAGTCTTGTGAAAAACAAACCATTTGTTCAAGGTCCCCATGCACTTTTTATTGAAAGTTCATTTCCTATTATTTGAGAAAATAGACCACAAAGCCAGAGATTTTCTATGAACTCATGATTTGTTAAAATGGTTTTTAATTGATGGTACTATGGGCAAAACCAGCTCAATTTGTACTTTCAGTTCTTTTGGATATATACCCACAAGTAGAATTGCTGGATCATATGATAATTCTATTTTTAATTTTTTGAGGAGCTGCCATGTTCCACAATGGCTGCACCATTTTACATTCCCATCAGTAGCCCAAGAGTTCCAGTTTCTCTACATCTTCACCAACACTTGTTATTTTCTATATTTTTGTTAGAAGCCATATTCTCATGAGTATGAGGTGATATCTCAAAGTGGTTGAGATTTGCATTTCCCTAGTGATTAGTGGTGTTCAGCTTTTCATATACTTGTTGGCCATTTGTATATCTTCTTTGGAGAATTGTCTATTCAAGTCCTTTGCCCTTTTTAAATTGGCTTATTTATCTTTTTTGTTATAAAGTAATTTTTTTAAATGAGGAAAATTAACATGTTACTACTATAAGTTCAGAGATGTTTTCTTTCATATCTTTTTTTTTTTTTTTTTTTTTTTGCGATATGTGGGCCTCTCACTGTCGTGGCCTTTCCCGTTGCCGGATGCGCAAGCTCAGCGCCCATGGCTCACGGGCCCAGCCGCTCCGCGGCATGTGGGATCCTCCCGGACCGGGGCACGAACCCGTATCCCCTGCATCGGCAGGCGGACTCTCAACCACTGCGCCACCAGGGAGGCCCTCTTTCATATCTTTTTACATTGCTCCGAAACTCCAATCCTTAACCCAGAATCTGATCCCTTCCCACTGCTTCTCAGATACTATCCCAGTCCAAACTACCATTATATTTATATTATATTTCTCTCTTAAAGTTCTGTTTCCATTCTTGCCACTGCTACCAATGGTCTATGCTCAACCCAGTTACCAGGGTTAGAATACCAAGTCACCCCTTTGGTTAAAACTATTCTGATGGCCTCCTAACTTGTACAGAATAAAAACTAAAGTCCTTTCCTTGATTTGCACAACTCCACACAGTCTGCCCTCCACACCTTCTGGCCTTATGATCTCTCAAACGTCATTCACACCATCCTCCTTCTTACTTTTCCTTGAACATATCAGGCATCCCACCTCGGGGTCTTGGCATTTGCCCTGTCCTCTCCCTGGATTGCTCTTATCCTAATATTCACATGGCTCACTTCCTCCTGCAGATCTTGACTTAAGAACCACCTTCGTGTTGAGGCCTTCCCTTAGCACAATCTTGAAAACCAGCCCCAAACCCACCCCACCCACAGATGCAAGCATGCAGGTGTACACAATTCCTGGTCCCCTTCCCTGGTTTACTTTTCTCCTGGCCCTCATCACTATCTACCATGCCACATGTCTCAATCCTGTGTTTGTCTCCCCACTAAACTGTAACTTGGCGAGGGAGGGACCGGTATGTGTTTTATTCACTGCCATGTCCCTAGTACCTAAAATAATACCTGACACACAGTGGGCACTTTAATAATATTTGTTAAATGAATGAGTGGATTTTGAAGGCAAAGTGGGTTGAGTAATAGGAATGCAACTACCATGTGCATCTCCTGCCTGTCTTGAGCCGCAATTGCTCCTTGGCCTTTCCACAACCACTGCCATCGTGGAGACTGAGACCACAACAATTACAGACTCCCACTGAACCACGAACTTTATATAACAAATGTTGACTGCCTCCTGTGATCAAAAATTCCACTTGTCTTCTTCAGTGCCAGGTGTGGGTCCCTACATATACCATTCAAATACTTGTTGATTTGGGGGGTTTTGTTTTTTGTTTTTTTCTTTCTCTTTGGCCACACCACGCAGCTTGAGGGATCTTATTCCCCCAACCAGGGATTGAACCCGGGCCCCAGCAGTGAAAGTGCCAAGTCCTAACCACTGGACCACCAGGGAATTCCCAATACTTGTTGATTTTGATTTAAAGGAATATGATGAGAATAGAGGATGAAAAGAGTAAAAGTTTCTAGTGGAGAAATCTTGCAGACACCATCCTAACCAAGTGATCAACCAGTGATGTCATGTTGATGTCATGTACTCTCCTATATGATGCAACAAGAAGGGCATTTGACCTGTGGGGTCTTCTTCCCCAAACCCATAACTCCAATCTAATCATGAGAAAACCATCAGACAAACCCAAATTGAGGGACAGTCTACAAAATACCTGACAAATACTCCTCAAAACTGCCAAGGTCATGAAAAACAAAATGCAAAGAAACTATCACAGACCTGAGGAGACTAAGGAGACATGACGACTAAATGTATTGTGGGATCCTCAGTGGAATCCTGGAACAGAAAAAGGACAGTAATGAAAAACCGGTGAAATCTGAATAAAGTCTGGAGTTTAGTTAGTAATAATGTACCAATGCTGACTTTTTAGTTTTGACATATGTGCAATGATTATGTAAAATGCTAACAGGGGAATCTGGGTGAGAGTGTATGGGAACTCTCTGTACTATATTTGCAACTTTTCTGTAAATCTAAAGTTATTCCAAAATAAAAAGTTTTTTTAAAAAATAAGTTGCGTTTCTACACACTTGTAATAATGTCTTAGAAATTTTAATTTGAAAAAGATATAATTTATTGTTATTACAATAACAACTGAAAAATAAACATAAGCATTTTCTTCATAGTGCTTAATATCCATGAGTTTAAGAAAAGAATATGAAGAAGCATAGACAAAAGTGATGAGACTTACCTGGTGGCGCCGTGGTTAAGAATCGGCCTGCCAGTGCAGGGGACAGGGGTTCGAGCCCTGGTCCAGGAAAATCCCACATGCAGCAGAGCAAGTAAGGCCATGTGCCACAACTACTGAGCCTGCGCTCTAGAGCCCACGAACCACAACTACTGAGCCCAAGTGCTGCAACTACTGAAGCCCGCCCGCCTAGAGCCCATGCTCTTCAACAAGAGAAGCCACCTCAATGAGAAGCCCATGCACCGCAACAAAGAATAGCCCCCGCTCGCCGCAACTAGAGAAAGCCCACGCGCAGCAACGAAGACCCAACACAGCCAAAAATAAATAAATAAAATAAATAAAATTTTTTTTAAAAAGTGGTAAGAGACAAACCCTTGAAAGTGTGATGGGAAAGTCTGCTCTTTTGTGTTGTGGCAGGAATGGAAAAGAACAGTGGGAGCAATTCCAGCACTCATGCAGAAGCAGAAACAACAGTTCAGCAGATATTCATAGAGCGCCAAGTATGTGCTATGGATTTTAGATGCTGTAACATGAATTAATTTATTAATTTATGATGTCATTGGATTTAATTTCTACGTAATACAGGTAGAGTAGGCTGGTGTTCCTACAGATCACTTAAGCTTTATTTCCCTTTTTTGATGGTTTAAACATATCTATATTCTTTTCTTTATATTAACCAACAAACTATAGCTCACATTT